GCTGATTCTAAGTAGTTCCTATAAGTGGAATCATGCGATGGTGCCCTTTTGTTCCTGACTTGTTTTATTCAGCGTGATGATTTCAATGCTGCACGCTCCATCAAGCTTCAATCTCTCTATGGTTGAGTAATAGTCTACGCTATGTATTATCATATTTTGCGTATCCATTCATCTGTTGATGGCATTTTGACCACATCCTGGTCTTGCTCATTGTGAGTACATGTGCACATCAGTGCATACGTGTACTGCTTGCAAGTGTATGGCGTGTATAACTAGGAGTGGAATCTCTGGATCATCTTCTGTGTTTAACTTTTTAAAAACTTTTTTGTAGCATGGGTACAAGTCTACAGAGCAAATTCGTTTTCCATCCAACAATATACACATGTTTCATTTCTTGACATTGGTTGCAATCCCTTAATGTAACAACATGCCACCCCCTTCGTCCTTGGGTTCACCTTTTGTCCTCTCCTGACCCTTCCTCGCTCCAGTGCAGGGTTTGGGGGAGAATGCTTGCCCTTTGGGGTTTTGCATCATTGATTGTTCTGAGGAGTATGTTCCTCCCTGGTGTTATTAGTCACTGTATAGGCTTATCTATTGTTTTGCTGAAAATTGATCTCCAGTGGTGGGTTCAGTACTAGGTTGGAAGCATGTCTGAGGGAGTTCCATCAGTCTCTGTCAGACCAGGAATTCTGATCTTCTTTTGTGATCTGTGTTTAATTTTTTTGAGGAACCCTTTCAACATTAACCGTGACCGCTGGGAAACCCTGGGAGTTATTTTTAATTTATGGTGCCCTCTATGCACTTGACACGCATTCTCTCACTCACTCCACCTTAGAATGCCACGAGGTAGGGATTACTATCCCTCACTGTACACGTCGTCTCCTGAATCTTAAGAGTGGGAGGACAGCCGTCCATGACCCCGCAGGTAACGGAAGTGAAGCAGGAGGCAAGTACAGTCAGCTCTTCCCACCTGAAGGCCGTCAGCACTCTGTTCCTCTAAGGGGGGCTCTTTCCCTTTTCCCATTCTGTGTGTGATGGAAGAATTGTGCTCAGAGGCTTAAAAATCATATGGAACAAAACAGATGTTCCCAGCAGTTCTGTGGGGAAAAAGGGCTCGGCGATTGACTGCCGTCAGCACTGCAGCCTAGAAAGTGGGGCTGTGCTGTGCGACTCCATCCCGGAGGGCATCCGGGAGTTGAAGTGGCCTTGATGGCACACAACAGCACTGATGTAATTATTTAGACTTTTCATAGGAATTGCTTATGATCGGGATGCTCTTCGGCGAGATTGAAAGTATGCTGATTGTAGAATGATACTTTCTTGATAAATACAAGTGGCTATGTACTGTTTTTTCTTGCCCACCTTTCATGATAAACTGAATGCCATGGCTAAGACCCCAGAGCCTTCGCTCCCATTCTGTGTGGTTCTAGGTGGGAGTGCTCTGGCTTTAGGAGGGCCACAGGTTGATGCAGACAGCTCGTGAAAGCACAGGGATTTTTGACTCCAATGTTGACTTCGGCCTAGGAGGCATGCTGCTTTTCTGATTTTCTTTGGGGGACCTCTTGCTGCCCAATGACGCTTCTTTTCACACCGGCCTGTGCCTTTGCAGTTGGGTGGCATGATTGGACCCCAGAGGGAATTCAGCTTTCGGGTGCCTTTTATGCAGATCTGCAGGACCCATAAGGACTTATTACATAGTATGATTAAAATCATTAGAAGGCAAATCAGTGGGCCACGCAGCAGGTGAAGTTGCAAAATAAAATTTGAGTGGTTCATCCTAGCACTCTTCATTGACTGCACCCTCCTGTCTTCCTAGGGTGACAGAGAAGCAGAACTCGGGCTTCCTTTTTCTCCTCTGTGTGACCGCAAGTCCACCATGGTTGCTCAGTCGCAAGTAGGTACGTGTTTGCCGGCCCTGTGGATGGAGGGAGAAATCAAACGGGAGAAGTATGTAGAAGACTCACTGGTTCCCTGTGATTCCTTGACTCGAGACGGGCTCCATCCCACCATGCTGTGCTCCTGGCCTTGCCCGGTTGGGTTGATGAAGCCACTGTCTCCATCCTTCTCCCTGGAAAGTGGCTGGTTCATGGGAAGTTTACTCTGGATCTCCCTCAGCCCCTACCAAGAGAAAAAGGGACATCAAATTTCCAGGGAAATGACAAGGGTCATTGCAGTAGAAGCTGGTTCTACCGCAGCATCTACACTCCACTTAGTACTGGAAGTCGGCATGACGTTTCTCTTTACTTGTGCTTCCTGTAGCTCTGTTTCTATGCCAGGACAGGAGGACCGTACTTCCAGGAACGGGTCCTGTGAAATGTGTTCTTTCCCTCTCTTTCTCACTTCCTTTAGTTTCTTTCTTTCGATTTTTTTATTCCTTTTTTAAAAGAACGGATCACCCTTTTTCCTGTTCCGATAATTATGATATAAGTCCATTGACAGCCTACATTCTTAGCTATGGGAGAGCGTATCTCTCACCTTCCAGAAACCAGCCCCGCTTGCAACACGTTTAAAATCATTTTAAACATTAGTTCTACAAAGATTTTTTTAAAAAAAATTTACACTCCTGCGTTCTTTTGATAACAATGTATTATGCCTTAGGCACTAAGCACTCTGTCATAGATGTTATAAACAAAGACAAACTAAACATAATCCTTACTTCCATTAAGACAGCACCATGCATTATGAAAACATAATCCATTCGAGTGCTTCAGTGTTATGGTAGCTTTTTGTACTTGATACAGTGAGATACAAAACAGTGCATGGACATTAGTACCAGAAAAAGCTTTTTGAAGGGTAATGTTTGAGTTGAGTTCTGATGAGTAAGTGGACCTTTCTAGGCAAATGGTGATGAGTTTTAGGGAAGCTCAGAGGTCCTTTATCATATACAGACTGGAGAAATTTGAGATGGGCTAGACTGGCCAGCGGACTGTGGTTATAGATGGAAAAAGCAATGTGTGAGAAGTGGAGGGCAGTGAGACATGTCTGGAGAGAAAATCAGACCCAAATTGTATCTTCTATTAAAAATACCAGATGCTTATATTTTTATGTGGGAAACTAAGCACATCTAAAGAATTTTAAGGAAAGTGAGAAACCTATGGCCTATGGACCAATTCTGGTCCACCACTTGTTCTTATAAGTCAAGCAAAGCTTTATGGAAACACAGCTAAGCTCACCTATTTTCATATTCTCTATAGGTGATGTCTTGCTATAACAGAGGCAAGCAGTTATGATAAAGACCATGGCTCACAGAGCCTAAAACATTTACTCTTTGACCTTGTACAGGAAATGGTTACCAGCCTCTCTTTAAGAAAGACTCACTGGTCAGTAGTGTCAATCATTAATGGAAGGATTTTGAGTTAGGCTAGAGGCAAGAAAACCAGGTGAGCGCCACCTGCAGGATTACCGAGATGGGATGATGTGGGACAGCAAAGTGAGGTGCCGGGAGATAGTAAGGATTTGACTGGATAAAAAGCTAAGATAAAGGCAGGAATGCATTATTCATCTTTGTCTTCTGCACACCTGTCACTCTGTGGGGCTTTGAACTGGGTCAGCCCAATTCAATCACAGCCAAGGACGTGACATCAGAACAGACCCACGTTTTAAAAATTCCTAAAACTGTAAAATTTGGGTGAACTGGAGTGATAACCCGAGTGGGAAGAAATATGGATCATGGCTGTGCTAGAAACTCGATGGACCTCTTATGTCTAAGTATGCCCTCCAGTCTCTTGCCCTAACAGAATAGAAAACAGAGGTTTAGGTGAAAAATGACACCCTAACCGAACCAACCATGTTGAATGTGTGTTGCTGTCTGCAGTTTCACCAACAGTCTAATCTCGCTCACTAGACTTGAAAGGGCTCGCTATGTCTCTTCAACGCATCCATACATATTGTTCATTCTAGTTGTTATTCCTGTTAGCCATTTAAAAAAAATTCTCTCAATTCTAGTTTCTTTCTGTTTGATTTCCTTGACCATGACTGAACTACTTCAAAGACCTGTCCTGTTGATGATTCCATAGCGGATGTTGAATGTGCATGTTTAAAGCATTTTATTGAACTCTTTACTGAAAAGTCATAAAAAGGTTATATTGGAAAATAGAACTAACTCACAATGTTCAAGTAAGGGAATATATGAAGTAAGACCCATTCTCTTTTCTCATCTGGAGCTCATTCCGTGGTCTTTATTAGAATAGTTTTAGGTTTACAGAAAAATTGAGCAGATCATGGAGGGATATACACCCCAACCGTACACAGATTCCCTTACAATGAACGCTGTATTCTGGGGCGGTAGCTGTTATCATTGCTAGACCAAGTGATACATCATTATTCACTAAAGTTCGCTGCTCACACTAGGGGTAATTTTTGTGTTGGACAGTCCCGTGGATTGTGGCCCAGGTCTAACGCCACGCACTGGCCGTCAGCGTATTCTGCAGAGTAGTTTCACTGCCCTCAAAATGCCTTTGCTTCTTTTCCACGTGGCAAACATGGCAGGGCTCGAGCCAACTCTAGTTCCTCTGAAGCATTGCCCTTTCTCCTCAGGCTTCATTGATTTCATCGTGGAACCCACCTTCACTGTGCTCACGGACATGACCGAGAAGATTGTGAATCCTGTCATCGAGGACAATGCCCAGCCTGGAGGACCTGCTGGGACAGGGCAGAGGCGTTCCAGGTCAGTGGAAAAGTAGAGTGTAGTGAGGCAATGTTGCCCTACCCACGAGGATAGAATTTTTCTTTGGGTGGGGTGGGAGTGGCCTTACATACCGATGCTATTAGGTCTGATCACCTGTTTGGAGATAATAGTCTGTCTCCTTTAGTGCTCAGATCAATTGAAGTTACACTAATTCATACTCTGCAGGTTGGGTCATGACATGTTTACCAACGTATGGGCAGATACTCGAGGCTGGTACCCCTGTCCTTTCTTAACTCTGCTTCTGGCAGCATCGGCCATAACACTTTACCTCTTGTGCCCACGCAGTCTTAGATGCGTGCTCCCAGTAGGCCAGGAAGACAGTACCACGAACAGAATGGTCTCAAGCAGTGGAACTGACTTTCACTTCCAAATTCAGAAAGAGAATGAAGTAGAGGGGGTAGAATGAATGTATTAGATAACCTTCTGCCAAAACATCACTAGACTGAGTGTGCAGATTGCTGATACGACGTGTGGAGTGAGAAGGCCGAGCGGGGTTAAGAATTTTGACCTCAGCACTCATGAGCTACGCACCCTGGGACAGGTTGCTTTGATTTCTCCATCTGAGAAAATGTAAATTGTAATACTAAAAGGTTGCTGGGAGGATGCTTGAATTATTCATCACATGTACAACACCCAGCACACCTGGGGACTAGCTAGCTACTATAAAACAAATAGTTTGTGTCTACCAGTAATGCTACTCTGAGTACTGGGAGTCCTTGGATGGTGCAGTTAATGCCATCCGCTGCCAATCCAAAGGTTAGAATCTCATGTCCACGTGGAGGCGTCTTGGAAGAAGGCCTAGAAATCAACTGCCAGCACATGTACCACTGAGAAGACTTTGGAGCAGAGCTGGACTGTGCAATGCAATGGCGAGGCGGAGAAGGAAAGGGCAGGAGGAAACAGAGGGTAAAGCAGGAGAAACGCTGAGACAGTGAGATCGCTGGGGTTCTTGAGGTGGGTGGACCCAGTCAAAGCTACTGCCGAGGAAAAGAGAAGCCACTGCCCCAGTTCCCCAGCAGGTCTTTGAGCGCTGGGTTAACATGCGCTTTGCTCACCTAAGCAGAATTATTAGTTAGTTCTGAGTCAGTGGATTTGTGTTTGTGTAGGTTATGCGTTAGCCACCAGAAAGCATGTGAGAGATTGTTCTTTTTCCACAGAAGATAGCATTCTGGAATAGTTGCAAGTTTGCCCATGTTTAAAGCATAAAATAGTGTTTATATAAAGAAAGGTCTTTTTAATTATGTATTCTCCCAAAATTACCAACCTGGCCCTCTCCATCTCCCTGTGACCTTGGGAATACTGGAAATGGAAGAGACCTTGAATATCATGGAGGGTGGAAATGGGAAAGATTAAGTTGCTGAATAAATTAGGGATGTGATCCGAATGGAAGCAGCTGGGTAAACTGGAATCCAGCTTAAACCCAAGTTCAAATTCGTTAACTTAAGAGTGTATAGCATTAAGGTGAGGGCTATTGGACCGCATTGGGAAAGAGAGTAGAACGATCAACACGGGAAAAATATGAGGAATACCAAAACTCATGAGGATGAACTATTTTCTTTTTTTCATATTGAAGATTCAAATTTTCCCACTTGCCACACTTGGAGTCGGAAAATTACAAACTTAGGGCCTAGGAATTCACAGCACTGACTTGATGAGTGCTCATCACGTCTCTTTTGGGCATGGGCATGGGCATACACTTTCCTAACACTCATCCTCCTCTGGTATCTTTTTCCTTCTCCAGTTTGAACAGCATCAGCTCATCAGATGCAAAGCGGTCAGGTGTCAAGAGCTCTGGGTCAGAAGGAAGTGCTCCGATCAACAATTCTGTCATCCCTGTGGACTATAAGAGTTTTAAGACCACCTGGACAGAAGTGGTGCACATTAACCGGGAGAGATGGAGGTCCAAGGTGCCCAAAGGTAACTCATTATTGGAGGATCTCCCAGGACATCTACCTACACTCACTCTAAAGCTACTCTTCGAACAAGCATTTATTTCTATCCCTGATTTAAGTTACACATTAAGATGCAAATTCAAATGGCTGAATATGGGAGTCAGCCATCTTTTTGTCTTCATCCCATCTAGCATTCAATACATGATACAATCAGGGCGGAGGTCTGGTCTCCCAACACCATACCTCTAACTTCTTTCTCAGTTCCAAGAGTAGTAGGTGGGGCAGAAGGAGCTTTGCTTTCCTTGCATATGTTCTTATCTTCAGATAAGAAGTTCAGGTTTGTCGTTTCCTATCAGTCATAGCGCAGAGTACAGAAGAAATCTGAGATGCAGAGAGCTTGTAGGGACACAGAACTTCCCTAAAGCAAACCTCCTTGCCATTGAATCAGAAAAGTATTGCTCTTGGTATATAAAGACTGGAATCACGTGTTTCTTGGAAGTTGTTCATACAGATATCAGTGTTTATGGAGCATATGATCAATATATATCAGCATATGTAAGGGGGCTTCAAAAAATTTAGGGAAAGTGGAATTAAGTGATAATGGAATTTTCCCACTTATTTTTGGTCTCACATAACCTGGTCCTTTGGTGGTATAGGAAAAGAAGCAGCATGCACATGGGTAGCACAGGACATAAGGGTTATGAAGCTATGGTGCCTGATTTTAGGAAGGGGCATGGACCTAGAGATCTGGGCTCTGAGAGGGGACCTGATCCCAGGCGGCTTTGTAGTGGTAAGCCTTTGAAACAGTCATTTGCATCTGTTGGAGCCATGATACTCTCACTCAGCTCATGAGCTGTGGAAGTTGCCCAGTGAACAGGAATGACGGGGAGCCGTGTTGATCGTCTGAATGATGGTGTTGGGGAGGGACATTGGGAGCACCATGGGGAGGGACATTGGGAGCACCATGGACCGCCAGAAGAACACAGCTGCCTGGAAGAAGTGCAGCCAGGATGTTCCTTCGAAGCTGGGATGGTGAAACCGTGCCTTACGGACTCTGGATATGTTCTCTGGAGAGACCAGTGCCCGAGGAAGGATATCATGCTTCGCAATGTACAGCATCATTGAAAAAGAGGAAGGCCCTCATAAAGCGGACTGATACAGTGGCTGCAGCAGGAGGCTGAAATAAAGCAACACCTGTGAGGAGGGGGCAGGAGTGGGTAGTGTTCACTCTGTTGTACCCTGTGTCATTCTGAATCGGAATCCATGCAGCAACAACCACATTGCGTGCCTACTGTCTGCAGGCTCTGTGCTCCACGCCAGAGTTCCGAGATCAATAACAGAGCCTTCTATTCGCAAAGCTCATTGTCTCAAAGCAGGAGGAAGAGGGGTCCTAGACATGACTAGAGAGTTTCTTTCAAAGGAAAACTGGGAGCTCATAGAAATTTATTCTTGTCAACCCGCACCCAACATCCCTCAACTGGCCTGGAGTGATGATATATCCCCCAAATTTTGCCCTCCCGTTGTGAGCAAACATGAAAAAATGAGGTGGCAGGCAATGGCAGACTCTGCCATTATTGGTCCACGAAACACAAGGGCCCTGCTTTGAAGTGCGGGAGAGGCCCCACTGCTGGACTTACTCAAAAGCAAACCACTGTTGCCTGCACACCAGACTGCCCAGCAGCTGCTCATTCTGCTTGGGCCAAAAGGTTTACATTTATGGAGCGTTTACTACACAATTTAGGGACAGATATGCACCCTGACCCATGGAGGGAGCCAATGAGTCTCCCATATTGTAAAGTGCATACTTTGACCGCCTATTCAAATGCCTCAGACATTTAAATTCTCCCCATTGGCAGGTGTTAACGCAGCGAGGGCAGCTGGTGCATCCTCTGGAAAGAAACACCGTCTTAGCATCATCACACTCGTCACACTTAGAACTCGAATTTCGGACAATGCACACTTTGAAGAGGTGCTTCAAAATAATTTTGTTTGTGATGATCTGGCTTACAGAATTTGCTTTCTGAAGCCCCTTGCCTGAGGGCAGCACGGTACAGTTCCCTTTCCAGAGGAAAGTAGTCCCTTAGCACCCCCAGCACCTCTTGCCCCATGAGTCAATTCCAACATGTCGCAACCCTCTACAGGGTTTCCAAGGCTGTAATGTTTATAGGCTATTCTCACCGTTCTCCCATCCACCACTTCCGTTGTACTCTTGGACAAATCCAGGGGCAAATGATGGACTTGAGCCACTGATACAATCCAACACTTAGCCAACATTGTCATTGACCCTTTAAGAGGGATAGACAAAGGAGCTGCTATTAACTATATGATGATGGAGATATGTTTAAAGCTTCTCTCTAACCCATCCTGGCTAGAAGTCAAGGGGTGCCAGGAATTAAAGCCTAAGGAAGTAGCTTCGTTAGAAATGGGGAACCAGTGGCATAGGATGGACAAAAGGACAGAGCCTGGGTTCTGTGTATTTTGTGATAGATAGTTTGTCAGTGTGAATTTCCGTTAGTGGCAAAAGAGAGAATGGAATCACTACTTCCAGTGTAATCTTGGGCAAACCCAGGTGGGTTCATTGAGGCTCCATTTAGGAGGTGATCAAGCCCATCCCAGAGCTGGTGCAAAGAGTACAAATACTTCCCCAGGATTACTCCTTCATATGTGGCTGCTGTCTTGTAAGTAATTAGGGAAGGCCAGTTAAAGATTTCAATACCACATTAAGAAGCCGAGGGTAAAATCTCTCCTGTAGCTAATATTTTAGCCTTTCCCCCTCCCACTAATGCTGTTGACTGAGTTAGTAAGAAAAGTAATTAATGCCTGAGTTTCCAGTGGTGATCAGTGGATACTTGATTGTCTGAGAGGGTTTGCTCTTTTTTTTTAATATGGGAGAACTTTGGTTTCAAGAATGCTGCTTCAACACCTCCATTATTAGACTAATCAGAAGTGGGACTGTACCTAACACGTTTTGGTTTTATTAACCAACCTTATTTACAAAGCTAGCTAGACCAAAGCCCATAGGCAAGAGAAAGCCAATATTCTTTTTTTTT